GTTACATGATGGAACATGCCAATATCAACCATTTTCTAATTGTAGCTAATGTTTTTTTGCCTAACTTTTTTTAGTTTTTGTCTTTCATATCTACTGATTTAACCAAATCATCAAATACCGACTTATATAAATCTTTGCAGTATAAATAATCTTTCATTATTAGTTTTCAAATTGAATAATTTAATGCTATCAGTTTTATCATAAAACTTATATCACCCTCCATGATGTTAAACATAATTTACTTTTATCCTAAATTGCGACTATACTGATGTCTCAAAAAATAATTGTAACTCTGAAACTACTTGTTGGGTGAGGTGACAAACATAATAACGCAGAAGTAATATATCAATAAACCTATAGCAAACAGACAACAATCAATAATCAACAATGCAGAAAAAATAAAACATATCAAGATTTATGTGAAAAACCCTTCAATGTAGAAGAAAAAAATTATAAACAATAAAAAAATCTCCATTATCAAATAATCAATCTACAAAGTTATCCTCTAGTTAAAACTAGAGCTAAATAACTATTAGAAAAACAATCGAAGAAATTTCACTAAATAGATGACTAACCAAATTACTCTGAATTTATTTTTAGAGAGTTTTAAACCCAATCTCCATCGTTTAGAATATAAAACATTGAGTTATGAATGCGTTAACAAAAAATTTTAGCTCAATCGAATCATAGATCAACCTCCATTCAACCTCTTGATCAAACTAACAGCTCTTTTTTTTTCACTATGCGTAACTTTTTTCCCCTAACGACTCACCCTTTTTCACGTGACTTTAAAGTAACCTTCACTTTTTGTTTTAAAGTTGACTCTCGGTTGCCTAAAACAAAAAGCCCATGGCCTTTAATTAGTTAAAAAGAATGGGGCTGGACTCTATATCATAACACAATCATTTTTCCAACTATCTCTGCTTTATTCTTGTTCAACCTACAATTTCTTTCTCTCCAAATTTGATATATGCAGGTACTTCAAGCAATTAGCATTATGATTAAAATCAGTACTGTCGTTTTCATCCTACTCACTGCCTATTCCAACACTTCATCCCATTCCCTTACTTTTTTTATCAATCCTACATTTCTGTAATATTCCTTTCCAAATTGTTTTTTTGTTATTCATGATTAGGCAAGCTTTCATTTTTCTTGTTCAATAATATTATTGATTAGTTATTCATGTTTTCAAATTTTAAGATTTTACAAAAACTCGTTCTTTAATCACTTGATCTTACTAAAATCATCACTATATGAATAATGAATCCTTTTGTAACAATTAATAATTTAAGGAATAATTCAAAAAGTTAATCATATCCATAATATTCCTACTTTGTTATTTTTTTTCTTTTTCTCTTATTTCTTTGTTGAGTGTTAAACTTTTTCTTTCTCTTTTTTTCCTTTACCTCTTATTGAATGCTAATGAGAGTAAAGAATAAAGAAAAAAAAAGTACTTGAAGATATATTAATGTTAGATGTACCAACTAGAGGTGATAATGGTTCGGTTTGAATCAGATTTGGTTCGATTTTTTCGAATATTGCATAATATTATGAAAATTTAAAATCCGATTTGAATCCGAACCAAATCTTCATTTAATCCGAATCGAATCAAATCAAATTTTACTAGTTTCATTTGGTTTATTGATTTTTAATTTTTTTAATTTGTATATATTATTTTAATATAAAATTTTCATATATTCAAGTAGATTTTGATATAAAATTATTATTTTTATTTTATAAAAATTTAAAATATATAAAGACTGCAAATATATATAATTTAGTTTGATTCAATTTTTTTTTAATTTTTTACCTCCCAATCCGAAATCTGATCGAACCTAATATATATATTTAATGTCTGAACTTAATTCGAACTGAATGAGAAAAAAATCGATTCGAACCAAATTGGACATTATGGTTTTGAATTAGGTTTTGGATTTCTTAATTTTTTTCTCACCCCTAATACCAACCAATGAATGATTGGTTCAAGTAATAAAAAGAGTGTTTTTTTCTTTTCTATTATTTAGGTTTGGTAGGAAACTGGAACTAGATAAAGATCATAAAATAGTACGGTATAAAGTTTTCCCTACTGCATCATCGGTAAGTAGGTTCAAAATAAAAACAGAAGGGTCATGAAATAACACAAAAGGGTTTTCCTAATATTCAGAAGTTGTAAAGCGGTCACCACCAAAACGAGCCAAAGCGTCAGTGTAAATGTTTCCCTCCTTGAAGGTATGCATGACTTCACAGCAACTAATTCCTCGTAACAACTTCCTACAATCATCGATTAAAGGTTGCTAACATAGGTTAGGAGTGGATTGGTTTTTTATTAAAGAAATGATAGCAACAACATCTATTTCCACATCCAGGTTAGAATACATTGGCTAAATTATGGGCTCTCAGGGATGGGTTAAGTATTTAGGTTTGAATCCATTAAGAGATAGTGAAAAATTAGTTTCTTATGAATTTACTAGATTTAACAAAAATAAAGTTGTTTGAATCGATTTGGAGAAAGAATGTATTGAGTAAAAATAAAAAATTCTTACAATTAAATAAAACAAAATGTTAGATGTACTTTTTTTTTGTAATTAATAAATTTCATAAATACTTTCATGGTTAAAAAAAAAAAGGTGACTCAAAGGAAAGATAGAGAGATGCTACATTATTTCCAACACATTTTGACTTTGAAGTCATCATGCCCAAATGCATCTAGAAGCGAAATTAGGGAAACCCAAAGCATATTCAATGTCTTATATTCTTCATTAGTGTAATAGACATTAAAGTCAATATTTTTAGACCACTCAAACAACCCAATATTTTGAAATTTGTTCAAATGGATGAAATAAATGTAGATAAATAATTTTCCAATTTGTAATGAATTGGAGTATGACAGTGTGTTCCAAGGGCAATATAAGTGACAAATTGACGGATCCAATTTGTTTTAAATTGAATGATTTCAAGTTAAAATTATTTTTTTTTCAAGTTTTATTTTGTTTAAATTGGATTAAATTGAGTTTTTGGATTGGATTAATTGTTGCCACCTATATACAATGTAAGGCAATATCTTTTTGTTTGTGGAAAGGGAAGGGGAAAAGAGAATTATTGAGCATCAATTTACATCTATATGATTTTTTAGGAGAAAATCTAGGAGTGAAAAAAAATTAAAAAAATTGAAAACCGATTCGAAATTGTAATATTTGATTTGGTTTCGTTTTTTTCCTTATTCGATTTAGATTAAATTTAGATATTACATATATATATTATGTTCGGATTGGATTTCAAATTAGAAGTGAAAAAAATAAAAAAAATAATATATTTTTATTAATTTTTATAAAATAATTATTGTATATCTAAATCTATTCAAATATATTAATTAAAAATTATATTAAAATAACATATGAAAATTTTTAATTTAAAAAATTGCTAAATCAAATTGGCTTGAAATGCAAAGAAATTCGAATTTGAATTAAATTTTAAAAATTTATAATTTTATATATTATCTAAAAATTTGAATTGCATCCAATCCAAACCGACCCATTCTCACCCGTTGAAAATCCAATCTTCTTTCAAATTAAAGGTTGCATTATTTTTTTGGTATTCATAGATGGCATGTGGGCAAATCCATTGCAAATGGCATATCAATTGCCTAAAAGCACATCTCATATAGTAATAAACCTATTGCATTGATTCATCTTATTATAACATCTCATAAATTTCTTTATCCAATAGTGTATCCATGTTAAAGTTTATTGGAGATTATTTAAAAAGAAAACATATTAAAGGATGCACATATAGAAAATTTTATAATCACGAAAGCAAAACTAAGAAATTTTTTTTTCATTTGGAGGGAGGGATTCGTATTTAATTATTTATTATATTATATTAAACATCTACTATAATTATTTAATTTTTTGTATTTAATACATTATTTTTATCAAATAAAAAAAATGCACTAATTATACTTCCGTTTTGTTGACTATCACATAAAACCAGTTCAGTTAAAAAAAAAAAAAAAATCTTTCTTTTCGAGGCTTTACTCTTATCCACGAATTCAGGAACAGACACGGCCAGGCCCTTCCAACAGACCAATGAACAAATCTCCGCCAACATCACCTCAAAATCTTCCTGACCCAACACTCCCCCTCAATTTTTCAATAATTACGAAACCGCCACCCACTCCAATGGCAACTGATTCCTTTTTCTTTTTTTTTTTTCTTTTTTTGAAAGAATGGCAACTGGTTTTAGAATATCCTTAATTACAGCCAACATATACGAGAAAATTAAATTCTCGTAGCTTCGATTAAAGGAGAAGAATTTACTCGTATATTTGGGTATTCACATGGATACAACTTTGCTGTAAAGGCCTTCAAACTCACGTTTTCTCCGCTTTATGACTTTAGCCGACCTGACATTAAATCCAACATTATCCAAACTTCGATAAGGGAAACATTTTAATTAGGTAGCCAATTTCTTTTCTTGTCTACTCACAGTGATTAATATCTGACGTTTTCAATCTAATCTTTTTCCCAACTGTCGTTCACCGACTCCTTCTCTCCAACACAATCTTAATTGTGGTCTGGTTTTGTAAACATAGTGTGTTGAAAACATTACTTATTTCTAAGACCCAAATTTTGTTTTGCTTTTTTTTCACTTCTATTTTGTAGAAATTAAAACCTCGATTAGAAAATAATGTTGGATTTACGTGAAACTTGGTTTAAAAACTATAGTAATTTGGATTAAAAAAATAGGTTGTCTATTTGTCTTTGTTTCAATTGTGGTGGGAGTGACCTGATCTGACCCCACCAAGTTTGATTACTGAAGTTTTTTGGTAATGGTGGATGTTAAAGGAGACTCGATCACAAAGAGAACAGTATAATTTTTTTTCTATCTACATCCTACGTGTATTAAGAAAACGAAATGTAGTAATAATATAATTTTGAATTTTGTTGATTAAAAATTAAGATATGATTTTTTTTTGACAGCTCAACGTTTCTCCTTTCTCAAGAATATTATGAATCTGTCTTTTTTTATTTTTTCTCTATATAAGGACCTCCAATGCTACTCTAAAACCTCTATCTTCTTTCGTTTGGCTTATTCACTCAAGTCCTAGAATTGCTTGATTTCTTTCTTTGTGTTAATCGCCTCTTCCAATCTTATATTTCCCTCTTCTTTTCCTGGTTTTGAGTTTGTTTCTTTACAATTGAAGTCAAGAAAGATCGAAAACATGCCGGCTGTAGGAGGAATTGGCCCGGGTAGCGGCAAGGAGTACCCGGGAAACCTTACCCCATTCGTCACTATAACATGTATTGTTGCAGCAATGGGGGGTTTGATTTTTGGTTATGATATTGGGATTTCTGGTAATATTTCAAACATTAAAAAAAAAATAGAAAAAACTTTTCTTTTCTTATCTTTGTTTTGTTTTTGTTTGCTTTAGGTAGAAATTAATGGTTTTTGGTTTTTGACAGGTGGAGTGACAACCATGACTCCTTTTCTTCAAAAGTTCTTCCGAAAAGTTTGGGAGAAGAAGGAAGCTGATAAGTCGACAAATCAGTATTGCCAATATGATAACGAAACCCTGACTATGTTCACATCGTCACTCTATTTGGCTGCTCTTTTGGCTTCCCTGGTAGCTTCCACTGTCACCCGTAAGTTTGGAAGGAAATTGTCCATGCTTTTTGGTGGTCTGCTTTTCTTCGCCGGAGCTCTTATAAATGGCTTTGCTAAAGCGGTTTGGATGTTGATTGTTGGTAGAATGTTACTTGGTTTCGGTGTCGGATTTGCCAATCAGGTAATAACCATTATCTAACTTTCAAAGCTCGTGATCTTAATTTTGTGTTCGTATTTGTTTTTGTTTCTCTTCGCTGTTTGGATCCAGAGATTCCGTAAGTCGAGTTTTGTTTTATTTCATTGCAAGTTGTTCGTAAAGAACAAAAAAGGTGCTGTCCGAGAATAGTGACAAAAATTCATGTTTCATTCCTTTTGTACTTTGGGGTTCATTTTTTTTTAGATTTTTGTTGGGTTTTTTTATCGTGTAACGTGTATCTTTGTATTCCTGATCTTTGCTGTGTTTTTCATCAGATCTGTTTTTAAGATGGTTCAGAGTATTAACAGATCAGACAATTTTATTGGCTTGGAAACTGACAAGAAAAAAACATGTCTTTACAAAACTTGTTTCTGATCCAGATATGAGCTTTTCTATTCCTTTTTACTGTATAAAATCTGGGTTTGCCTTTTTTTTTCCGACACTGGAACTGACCAGTCCTCTTTAAGCTTGAATTTCTTGATCTGAGAATTCAGCAATAACTCACCATTGAATTTCCAATAAATGGTTTAAAGAGTTATGAAGCATGAAAACGGTGTTTATATTTTATTATCGGTATTTTTCCTGGTCAGACATGGCTTGTATTTCCTTGCGTGACACATATTTGCACTAATTTTCGCTAAAGTTTACTCGTTGATGCAACGGGCGATGAATAGAAAATTGAAATACGATGTTGGCTTATTATTGAATCGAATACTATATTATAAAAATGAAAATTGTGCTTTTAAAATGTCTTGTTTTTCTACAAGCATGACTTCGATGTATTGAACAGAATTTTTTTTTTTGGCCAATGACGTGTTGAAAAGAAATTAAGTTCTGTTTTTAATCCAGTAGACATTGACACAAAGCCGTATCGTGTGGTGGCTTAGCAAAGACATTTTTTGCATTATTTTAGTTTACTAAAATAATGGAGGTTGGTAATTTAGTTTTGACTAATTCTTTTTTTTTTTTTGGGTGTAATTTTTACAGTCTGTGCCACTGTACCTCTCTGAAATGGCCCCCTACAGATACAGAGGAGCATTGAACATTGGGTTTCAATTATCAATTACAGTTGGAATCCTTATTGCCAACGTGCTGAATTATTTCTTTGCTAAGATCAAAGGCGGCTGGGGATGGCGCCTGAGTTTGGGTGGTGCAATGGTCCCTGCCCTTATCATCACAGTTGGATCTCTAATCCTCCCAGATACACCGAACTCCATGATTGAACGTGGTCAAACTGAGGAAGCCAAAGCGAAACTTAAGAGAATTCGTGGGGTTGATGATGTTGATGAGGAATTAAGAGACCTTATCGCTGCCAGTGAAGCATCAAAGCTAGTTGAGCACCCTTGGAGTAACTTGTTGCACAGGAAGTACAGGCCTCATTTAACCATGGCCATCTTTATTCCCTTCTTTCAACAATTAACTGGCATTAATGTGATCATGTTTTATGCTCCTGTATTGTTTAACACAATTGGTTTCGGAGCCGATGCTTCCCTCATGTCCGCTGTGATCACTGGTGTTGTTAATGTTGCTGCAACATTGGTTTCCATCTATGGTGTTGATAAGTGGGGAAGGAGATTCCTTTTCCTAGAGGGTGGAGTTCAAATGTTGATCTGCCAGGTACTTGATTTATCACAATGAAAACCAATCAACAACAATTGGTGCTAAAATGTGTTGTACTAAAATTTATCTTTGCTGCTTTTTTCAGGCTGTTGTAGCAGCTTGCATTGGTGCTAAGTTTGGAATTAACGGAAACCCTGGTGAATTGCCCAAATGGTATGCCATTGTTGTGGTGCTTTTCATCTGCATTTACGTGGCAGGATTCGCCTGGTCTTGGGGACCCCTTGGATGGCTGGTGCCTAGTGAAATTTTCCCATTGGAAATCCGATCAGCTGCACAAAGTATCAATGTGTCTGTCAACATGATCTTCACATTCGCAGTGGCTCAAGTGTTCTTAACCATGCTCTGTCACTTGAAATTTGGGCTCTTCCTTTTCTTCGCCTTCTTTGTGGTGCTAATGTCCATCTTTATCTATTATTTCTTGCCCGAGACAAAGGGTATTCCAATTGAAGAGATGAACCAAGTATGGAAGTCACACTGGTACTGGTCCCGATTCGTCCAAGACCTTGATTATCCCAATGGAGGTATGGAAATGAGCAAGGGAGGCCAGGGTCCAAAGAATGTGTAACTCAACCCTGGATTAATTATATTACTTTTTCCTTGTTTTTCAAATTTAGCTCTTGTAGTAGTACATATTATTGGTTTTCAAGGTCATATAATTTGTTCCTGATTAAAAAACGTCAGTGTACAAGTCTGTTGTGCTTTGTTTCAACCAGAAGTTTCAATATATAAACAGGATTAATGTCCATGAACCGTTTACTGATGACAATTCCACAGCACGAATGATTTGGTTGGAGTACAAGTTTCTCAAGAATCTCTTGTTTCTCCATGTTATATAATTATTGTTGCTTTTCTACTGCTCCTATTTTAATTTTGAATGACAAACTCCCAATGATTAAGTGTCTTGACTCATTGGCCATTTCTCTCTTTCCTTATTTATTTTTTAGCTTCATCGAATATTTAACTGGGAATCCAGAAAACTATCGAAATTAAACAAAAAAAGAAGATCATTGACAACTCATATAACGATGATGAGATATTTGACTAGAAAATATCAATGCATGTATCCAAGTCTTGGTTCAATGAATGGCAGTTCTTTGTACCAAATTGCCTACCTGGCAGATTCTTCGCTTATTTTGCAATGGATTCGGATTAATCATAACAATGCATTTTCCCTTGATAAAAAAACACAAGAGCAAACTATGATAACAACGTCCAGAAAAGTAGCTCTCTAAGCATAACTAACCAGGAAACTGAATTGTCTTGATGAAGTTGTTAAAAAGCAGAAAGCTCAACTATCTTTTTAAGGGAAATATGGCTGATCCATATAACTTCTCATGATTGTCGTTTTCAAATGAGATTTCTTCTAGCATCACATGATTTTGCTTGATTCTGTTCAGTTTCCTATGAGCTTTCTTTGCCATTGTTTTACTCAATTTCTTGTCAATGCTGCAATTAGCCAGTCCAAACTATTTGATGAAATCAAAGCAAAGGTATCTTACTCAAAGATCAGTTTATATACATCTCCCAAAATCACACCAGGATTTTGATCCATTTTCATTTAATTAATTGATAATGGATTCTTGAGTCATATTCTTCTCCCTAATTTTTTATAACAAGGTAAAAAGACAAATTTGGAAACATTATATATTTTAAGTAGTGAATTGGATTAAATTCCATATTCCTATATCCGTCAAGTTGCTATCTTTTATTATTCTTCATATTTTCAATTTAAAAGAGAAGATAATTGCCCTTTCGATGTTTGGAAAAAAAAAAAAAGAACCCATTGCTTTGTTGTGCTAATGGCATTCACTAAAAAAGTAGTTACTTGGCTGAAATACTAGTGGCAAATAGCAAATTCATCATAAGACTATACAACAAATGGATAAAACACTTTCATCATCAGATTTCCACACCTTTACTCCAAGTGGAGAATCAAAAAGTTTCACATGCTTTTGGAGTGGGATTTTCTTTTTTTATATTTTCACCATGTAACAATGAAACTTGTAGATAAGCATTGGGTGAATGAGTTGAAACGAAATTAAAACAAAGGAGGGCAAAATCTTTTGAAGAAAAGGGATGGATGGTCAATTTGATCACGCTCTTACACTGAGGCGAAAGAAGAATCGCATGAGTATGCATTTATTGTTTGCCTCTTTCAAGTCCCAGAAACCTCCCCTTTTCAAGAGACATATGTTTTTTACTTTTGGATAAGATGGAAAAGCAGTGGAATTTAATTTTTGGTTACTTGTCCCTCTCTATCTCTCAATATTTTTGGTGATAAAAGAACTTGGGTATCATATGCTAATGCTATCCCTTTGTTTTAGATGTTGTTGCTCCATCACATCTTCTTTTTTCTTTTCCTCATCTTTATGCAACAGAGCATGTTTCCCCTCTCATCTTTCTATTCACCACAACATGCAATTCATATTCCCTCTTTCAATTTTTGTTTTTTGAGTAAGCAATAATTGTTAATATTTTAAGATCCAAGCATGTAATATATATGTAACTATAAATAACTAGTGGATTAGTGTTAAAAATAGTAAATTAGGACTGCTCATTTTTCAAAATATTATTTGGTAATGATGATCAAAACACACCTTCCCCCTTCAAACCATCTAGAAAAAAGATTGGGGCCACTTAAACATGAAAAAAAAAAAAGGCAATTAACGGTCACATTCATCATCAATGCATGTTTGACAAACATCAGCGTGGTTGCTTCCACAATTTTAGTGCACCAAAAATTAAAAAATAAAAATGCACAATCACATCCACACCAAGAAATCCAATTTGTTTGGTCGCTTTTCAACCAGGAAGAAAGAACTACTCAGCTTCTTTAACTAACCAAACATTTAATTTGAATAAGACAAGTGATTATGGACCTTGCATAACAATTATCAACATCATTCCCTGGAATATGATCCCCTTTGGACTTTTTTTTTTTTTGAAATAATTAAAAGTAAAGAAAAAGAAAAAGTTGTTTACGGGCCTGACCTTTGTCATGAATACCTAGAAAGATAATATGGGCCTTGCAAGTCAGTCCATAGCATGATGGGCCTAAATTGTGCCTGTAGGCTTACATTACTGGCTCATAGTGCCTAATTATACTCTGGTTATTCACAGCCTAGTCTAAATAGCCCGTTCTTTACCATTTAGTTTTACTTATTTATTTTATTTATTTAAGGAGGATTCGAATTCTGCTCATTAAATACGAATCATGTCCCAACCAATTGAGTCAAATGTTCGAGTGCTCTTTACCATTTAGTTTCTGTTACCAATTGTTTTCCTCGATGCAAGCAAAAGTAGAAGGTTTTAATTTCCTATAAAAACAAAATAATCAGATCGGTGATTGCAATGGAAGAAAATAAATGTAATGAATTGAAATTCCTAGAATTCTTATTAGGAAACAAGGGATAATGGCTGCAGCTGTGGACATAATCCAGTAGGTAGCAGGTTATACTAAAAGGAACCGACTTGGAGAAAATTTTATCCTCTCGCCTTTATTTATGGACTTTGAATCATAAGAGGATTAAAATTTTCTTATTGGATTAGCTGCTTGATTATGCTTTTCCAGCAATGCAAAGCCATTGACCAATAAAAAGTGAATCACACTCGAGGTTGGGGTTGATTGAGTCGAAGAATGCAGTGGTCAAGTTGAACATCTTTGTTACAGCAAAGCATGTGTCGCCACTCACTACCCCATAGACCTTGTTACAGCTTGGGCCGCTCTTCTTTCCCTTTAGAACTGCACATTTCAATACATTTGATCAATTATAATACTAAACATCAACGAAAAATTCTAACTATTCAGATTTTAGTTTATGATTTGAGACATACGCCCAATTTCTCGGCTTTCAGCCATGGAGACAATGACCAAAAGTGCAACGATCAAGACAAAGTTTGTGATCATGGCAATTTTGTTAGACTTTGCCATTTTTGTTGTTTCTTTTCTGTTCCTTTCCTTGGCTTGTGAACCTGTTCTGCTCTTTGTGGAGCAACTTCCTGGATTAAACTCCTATTTATAGCAAAAATTCATCTTAGTAACACACTAAAGTGTCAACAATCCGTTAATATCTGAGTGGTAATTGGCTAATTGCCTAGTTGGCAAACAAGAGGCCGGCTTGTCTTTGTGATCTACTCTCATTCCATGGCGGATTAGACTAAGACAAAGCAATTATAATTACTAAGATTAAGAATATTTGAAGGGGCATAGAGGAGAGGTCTTCAATTTCCATCGCTTTCCTAATGGCCTAAAGGCTATCAGCCTATCAGTTTAGATGTGCTGAAAAAGATAGACACAAATAAGCGTATAAAGACGAGGATGACGATTAGGACTATGACCCTCCGTTCGAAAGATGACAGAAGGCTATCTTTCATGATCATTTTGTATGTTAAGACTTAAAAGCCCTTTTGTGTGTTCTGCAATGGCCACTGGGGGCTATTTGGTTTTCTGAATTTAAAAAATTGCTAGTCATTCAGTGTGAAGATTCTGCTCAAAATTCATCAGTTGTTATCATTTTCCGTTGTCGCCACGGTGGAAGTGGAAGTGTTGCCACAGGCATATATTCCTTGTTCTATAGTTAAGTAAATTAAAATTGATTGGTTTGGAATTTGGATACAGGAACTGGAAAAGGACTGCAACTAAAATTTACCAATACAGAACAAGGAAAGAGCTAATAAACCCAATTATTGCCACAGACATTAATCAAAATAAAGAAGAAATTAAGATCCATCCAAGTATTTCTTCATTTTTTCATAGTTTTTACATGCCAAATTCTTGGCTGTCTAATAATACTGTAGTTCCTGTAATGATGCTCTTTGAGAATAACAAGGAGGCGATCACTGGTTAGTATTTTTTGGAATCCAGGCCATCTATGCTATGGACTAGACTGTTCCAACAAGTGGGTGTAAAATTGGTTGATTGCTCCATCTTCTCACTTAATCAGAGGCTAGCTTTGTGTCCAGCAATTCTAGTACATCACCCTGTGAAGAGATTCTTCAGTCTGATTTCTATTACCCTCTTGGGTTTTGCCCCTGGAATAAAGTCTATCATCTGATGAACTCAGCAGAAAAATACTTTCTCTTGCTGGCGTTAATAGGTCGAAGGCTGGAATTCCATTTGGAGCTACAATCTCTTTAACCTGCCACTGCCGCTACACTAGCTGCCATGCAAACTCAGCTCAAATAACTCATCTTTACTTATGCCTAGTTTCTCACTTTCTCTAGATTTGAAACTTATCCTTGTTTCTTCTAAGCCTTCTGAACACGAGGATCAGGAACCCCAAATATATGGACTGTTCGAAAAAATAAATAAGAGAAGAAAAATAATAAAAAAAAATTTAGCTTATGTGAAGAATATTTTTTTAAAAGCAATTATATCTTTAGGATATAATAAAGTTTCAAATTTTCTAATCAGAAGTTGTAAAAATGGTTATACTGAAAGATTTATTTATAATGAATGAACAGACATAAATTTTATTCAAATAGTTATAATCTTTTGTATAATCAAGATTAATTTTATGAATAATAATCTATTTATATTCAAATAGTTATAGTCAATGTTATATGATAATTATTTGTGTTCAAATATAATTATTTAAAATATGAATAAAATTAATACAAAAATTAATTTTATTCATCAATAATTAAATCTTTCTATCAAATATGGGATGTATTATATTCTAAACTACCAACAATCTCACACTAGTTTAGAATGTTAGTGTTTAATTTTTACTTTTACATAAATAAATATTAAAAATAAAAAAAGATATCTCTCGATTTAAACCTTCAATTAGTATATATATCTTAAAATTCTAACGAAGTTAAAGGTGTTCGTAGGTTAAACATCAACTCTTAGTATTAGAATTGAAGATATAATACACATAATACTTATTTATTCTTCTGTCAGAGGTT